CTGAGCTAATCCATTCTAATAGTCACTATCAATTTATCCAGCAACAGTTTTCAATTCCATTTCTTCTTTCCAGACGCTCTCATCGCTGTCATTTCATATACTCTCGTTTCACGTCGACAGATAAACTCAATTTCACATGTATCATCAATGACACCCAACTGTATGGGGCCTTGAGGAGAACTTTCTCAACTCGGCGATTTTTTGCCCACCTCTTGCTTTGCCCGTTCATTTCAGCAAGACTTTTTATCCATTATGAGAAGATCCAGTCGATAGAAATCAAACTGCTTAACAATCATTATTGCGCTATAAGCTGGCAAAAGTTATATAAATTTTTCTTAATTTTTTTTAGAAGTCATTTTGCACGCAAGATGCAAATCAGAAATAACTTCATGTCAAATAATTAACTTAGAAATATATATATTCTAATTTTTGTGAATTCTCCTTCATGAATAACGTCAAACTAGTATCTCAAGTTCTTTTATTCTGCAGGGTAAAAAACTACTGCAAAAAACTTTCTAAATAATTCTCAAACTAGATCGAAATTCACAATTTTATGGAACGACAATAGTAAATTCGAAACACAAAAGGAAAACATTTTGCACAACACATAATTTCCAATTTCATGAGAAAAAAAAATTTCTTAAAATTTTGAATATGTATTCTTTTTTTAGGCTTCAATTTTTCTAACAACCCGGTTGGAGAGGAATGATCAACAACTAACAAAAAACTTCAAAGTTAGGTTCATCTCAAGGGTGAACCGAACCACTGTTCAGATATCAACAACTAATAAGACTGATAAAATTTTACTAAAATTTAAAATTAATCCAAAGCATTAATATATGTTCAACAAGGAAGATTTCCCGATAAACCTTATAGCAACATCAGGCAGATCAGAACGAGATTCTACCCACTGAACAAATACTGAACAAATACTTTCGAGGCACCGAAATACAAATACTGAATGAGTAAGAATTGAACTAGAACAACGTTGAAAAAGAAAAATGTCGATACATAATCCTAGTAAAACTATAATTCTCTCTATCTCTGATTCAGAATCTTTCGGTCGTAGCTCTACGTTTCATTTTTCTTTGGGAAGTTGTAGGAGCACGGAGCGCATTCCTAAGTCGAAATTCTGGCTACGCTCACGCAGACTCATTTGCACTACTTTCTTTTAGTTTCCAGCTTTGACAACATTAGGTTTATTTGAGACGTTTTTACTACTTATCAATGATTTACCAACTACCAGGGGCGGATTTAGGGGAGGGGGCGGGGGAGGATGCTCCCTTCTCAAGGATTCGAACTTCAGAAGACCCAAAGGCCCCCCCTTTGAACTCTTTTGAGATATCCAATTTTGGCTGACGGAACCTAAAATTTTTCTAAAGGCGCCTTTGGCATCAAAATAAACTAAATTTAAGGGGAGAGCGCGCGCCTACAAACGCAATTTTTTGGTAAAAATTGACTAAAAACGCCTTTTTTTGCCTGTTTTTTTTAAACTTTGCCTGCGGCGCAGAAGTTTTGGCCGAGATCGGGACTTCTTAATACTTTGGGAGAGCTCGTAAAATCAATCTGGTCGACCTAAAAAAAAGTTCGACAAACTTTCAAACATTTTTTGAAAATCCGCCCCCCTCAAGAAAATCATAGATCGGCCCCTGATTACTACCTTCTGATTTTTTTTGCAAACCATTTTAAGTTTAACCAGACAGAAAACTAGTTTTTTGCAGATCAATTGAGTTATAGTAATAAAATTGTCTGTATTGGACTAAGTAGTTGCATGAACCTATCGACAGATGATAGCATGACATAAGGACAGTTATCTCTTTCTGAATTTATTTTATGAGATAACCGATATCATCGCACTTGCTGCTCAAGCTCGTACAAATAATGATAGGGTGCTGCACGTGATCTGCAACATGAAGCCGACGAAACAAAATCTATGAAATTTCAGGCTTTAAAGGAGGAAAATAAGGAGGAAAAAGCTTCGTATATTTTTCATCTGTACAAGTTGAGTGTAAAATAACTTTGATGTTCCTCAGAAACCCAAGTTTTTTAATTAGAGCCCAAGTCCAAAGAGAACGAACAGGAACTAGAGAAAAATTGAGCGTTCGTTTTAAAATACGAAAAATCTGAAAAAAATCCACGAGAAAAAAGGAAAACCTAAGATATTTTAAAAATCCAGAAATCCACAAAGAACCCTCGGTAGACAACAAAGAGACTAAAATGGGGACCAATTTCGACCCATGTAGCAGATACTTAGGGCAATCTTGAACAGTAGCTTTAAAAAATGTTTTCTACAACACGGGAGATGCAATTAAACAGCTTTTCAAAATTAAAATGAAAAGTTTTTCAAAAGAGATTGATCAGAGTTATAGTTTCAAAAAGGTATATGCTTGTAATCAAAAATTTTGATCACTGTTTTGTTTTGCTCAATGTTTTTTGTGTCATGGGTCTTAAAAAAGTCGACTTCCAAAAAGCACACAAAAAGAACGCAAACCCTTGTAATGCTGTTCTCGCATAAATTTTGCTTGATTTTGCAAGACCAAGTTGCATTTCAGATAAAGGCAAGCAATTCAAAGTATTTATTCAAAAGTATATACTATTTTTGGAATCGAATGCCATCTTTGAGATTGCAGCAAAAAAAAGCCGTATGGATGTGGAATTCCCTCAAAAATTCTTCAATCTTTGTGACGAAGTTGTCAGTTGAATGAAACACTTCGACGCTGGATTTCAGAAAAAAAAACTGAATTTCCGAATTTTTCTCTCGATCTTTTCATGTTGATATTGTTTTTTATAACCGAACTCAAGCTTTAATTTTTTTCTTAAAGATTGAAATCAAGTTTCTGTCGAACTCGCAAAGGAGCCAGCAGAAATTGTGCTCACCTAAAAACGTTTGAAGTCTTAATGGAACAAATTGCTTTTAGATAAACGCAACACTCAATTGACGAGAGTTACTCAAGGGTGAGTAGCTCTTAAAAAAACCGAACTGAACAAAAATGCTTTTGTGATAAAAAATAATACAAGATCATAACTAAAAACAAAATTAGCAACGATTTTTATATGTAAATAATACAATAAAGTATATAGATAACATACAGCCCAAAGACGAGCAGCAAGGAACTTGACAAACCCCAACTCACCCGACAAGCTGCCTACAGTCACTACACTCAACGGTTTTAAAGTACGACTTGGCATCGCAGCAAAGGAAACCCATTACAACAGAACAATTGCCATCTCGATGTTCAAGTAAACGTACAGATCTAAGGCACCAGGCACGACATCCAAAGTCAAACTACATGCCACATCCGAACAAGATAAGAACACTGCGATTCTATAATCAACCAAATCAACACTCATCACAACCGATCAGAAATCATGATACGATCTCCCGAAACGATCGTGATAACAATCCTTCTTCCAAATCAGAAAAAAGAATATGCTCGCAATTTCTAAAGAAAGACATCATCATCCGTCCTCCACTACAGTAGAACACTAAAGAACTAAAACTCTGTAAACCCCGGATGGGTGAAACCAGATCTAAACTAGAATTTGTTATTGGATATTATTCTGATTTTTTATCTCTATAAAATATTGAATACTAACCAATCATATTCCATCAAACTAACACCCCACTTATATGAAAGTGTTGAAACTACGTGTAGTTTCAGCACCAGAGCAATTTGAATTAAGCTTAGAATACAGTTGTTCTCTTTCTGAAAACTAACTCGCATATACCGGTTTACACTAGATCTATTGAGACTAGGAGATATAAGAGTAAGATTAAGATCAGTATTAGACTAAGAAGTTGCACGAATCTATCCGGCCGAAAATAAGATAGCGTGACGAGCAGACGGTGCACCTTATCTGAAATAACTCTATAAGTTATACCCCTATACCTTAACTCAGTTTACAGTCGTGGGACAGAAAAGTTTTTTTTTATAGTCAATAGGTTATAACTCAATCAGTCACAATATTTAGATTGAATTTCGGGCCTCATGAATCATTTTTTTGTCAAAAATTTAGTGAGAATCCCCAGAAAGTCATTCTAAAATAGGGAAATTTTAGACCATTAGCAGAGGTCATAAACTAAAAATGCTGTAAAAATATAAAAGAACGCAACCAAAGTTTAATTAAGTGATGCATACAATTTGAGCTTTTAGCAAGTAATTCAAGGAGATAAATTTAATCACCCGCTATATGAAAGAAAAAAGAGTCACTGTTAGATCTTGTTTTATATTTAGCTGGAAAATTTAGCTTTTTCTGACTTTTGGAAAATCTAGAGAAAACTGGACATACAGTGATAGCAAATGCTTTTCGGAAAATTTTGTGTTAATGATCGACCTGAAAGCAAATATGACTATAATCAATATGTAATTTTTCCGCGCCAAAAATAATTTATTTTAAATTGAGTTTTCCAGTTTTATACCACTTGCTCAACCAAATTGCCCCTAGAACGTCGATACTGAAGTATAATTTTGTAAAAGTTATTTTTTCCTTAGGCTCAAAAGTGTGCGCTAAAACTCTCCTCGAGTGACTCCTGATCTCAGTAGCTCTGACTGAAATTTTTGTGAGATTAAATTTTTGTCATTCAAAGCAAATGGAATAGTGGGCTTAAACCAATTTCGTTGAAGTTAAGATCGATTTCAGAAAAAGGCAAAAATCAATTTTATTCTATTTAAAACGGTTCTTCAGAAATATAATTGTCCTTTTTATTTTGTGAAATCAGTAGACGGATCTAAATGAGCTACCGTTGATCAATTTTTAGGCAAAATTTTCTGTTGATCTTCGATCTAAAACGATTTCCATCTCAGGTTTGTCATTATGAGTGCATCAATTGATTTTGAATTGAGCGAAAATCTAGAATACAAGTCTCTCAAAAACTCATCAATATTAAGATCAAATAAAATTTTGGTCAAAAAAATAATTCGACTTTGTTATATATATATACAAACATTACCGAAACAGTTCGCAAATCTTTCTATAATTTGGCTGGAAAAAGTCAAGTGCACACCGTTTAGATCCTCTAAAATTGGAACATTTTTTATCAATCTATCAATTTAATTCAATCCTCATCGTCGTAGTAACTTGAAATCACACTGTCGTTCGTAAGTGGGGAGTGATCTTCTGTGTTCAGGGTTTCGATTTGTAAATCACGTGTAAACGATGTCGTCATTAAGGACCTAAGACTTTGATATCTAGTTTTTACTCGTTTTGCGATTTCGACGCGGAGTTTTTTGTTCACAAAAGTGTACAATAAAATATTAACAAGTGTAGTTAAGTTTCCGGAACACAAAAACCATAGTTGGAGAAAAAACTGCAAATTACGTTTTCCTTGGACTGGCCCCGAATAAATTTTGAAAATCCTGGACAAAATTACGGGAAAATCGACAAAAATGTAGAGAAATGCAGTCACAGCAAAGGGTAAGGAACTTTTTAAAACGGAGTATGAAAAGTTGATTGAAACTTGGAGAGCACCAAAATCTTCTTCTTCGTTTTCGTCCACCGCGCGTTCACGATATAGTTTCAGTTTTTTATAGTCAGCGTAAGCTCTGTGCAAAATAAGCACGAAAACAATTTGAGAACAAATAATTATCACCATATTAGTTCCGTAATAAATTGTTGTCAAAACTTTTCCTTCTTTAATCAGCAGACAATCTTTTCCATCGTCTGACAATTGGAAAAGTAATTCTGGCTGACAACTGGCCGAAAAAATGTAATTTTCATTGTAGTTGAGCTGAAATAAGTCGAATCTGCACCAAATGACATATTGAAGTAGCAGTCCAAAAGGCCAAACAATTATGTTGAGGTGCTTGAAATGATCGTCTCTGTTGGGATTGGTGCTTGTCAAGTTCAAAAGAATACAGCACAGAAGCACAAATGCCCTGAAACTAACTTTTTTTCTAAAAATTGGGAAAAATAATACAAATTTTCAATTAGGGGAAAGCATTTTTTTTAAATTTTCCTTACAAATTGAAATATTTTCGGAAATAATTGGAACTTTAGACTTATTTGTTTGTCGGCAGAATGCAAATTCAATTAAAGCGCCCGCACTGGAGTTCCATGGATAATAATCGATTATTTGTCATTTTATAGTCAGTATCAATAAAATTACAAAAATAATCGTTTATAATCGATTATAATCAATTAAAAATGGATCATATTTCTTGTAGTTTTCATGTCAATATGAACCCTTATAATCGGTTATAATCAGTTATAAAGGATTTTTTCGAGAGGTTAGTCTTCAATTTTACAACTTTTCTTTCAAAGTTATCGCATTTCCTGTTTAGTGCAGTTGCTTCGTATTAGGTTAACTTTTCAATTTTTATAGTTTGTGTCTTATATACACTCGTTTACCCCTTCCCTGTTTACTTACCCTCCCTCCCCCCTGTTTACCCCCCCCCCCCCCTGTTTACCCCCCTCCCTGTCCGTTTAAACCCCCCCTGTTACCCCCTTGTTTTCACCCCCTCCCATGTTTACTACCTTCCCCCTCCCCCCCCCCCCCCTGTTTAGTCCCCCATCCCCCCGTTTACCCTCCCCCATTTTCCTCCCTGTTTACATCAGCCCGTTAACCCCCTCCCCACCCCCCACCTCCCTGCCGGTTTACCACAACCGCCATTCGCCCTCCCCTTTATGGGGGTTATTTATTGGTAGACTTTGGGGAGGGGGATTTATGATTGTAGGGGTGCAAAAAAACTGTATAGATTATAATCCGTTATAATCAATTATAATGGATTTTAAGAGGATTATAATCCATTATCTTGTATTTTAAATGAACTATAATCCATTATAAGGAATTTTATTGGATTGTGATTTTGCGAAAATAATCGATTATAATGACAAAATAATCGATTTCGGGGTGTAAATTTGCGACATTAATGGATTGTAATGACAACTTTTTAGACAACAATTTTCCATCATTATTGATTATTATCCATGGAACTTCGGTCCGGGCAATTATCACATGCTATTAGGCACACATAGGCACTATGTAGAATCAGTCATAGCTACGTTTGGCGTAAGCATCAACCAAGCGATAAATGTTTATGATGTGCATTTTTTTTATTTGAGTCTCAAACCGGCTACTCAAATAAAGTTCTGGTCTTACTGAACAGTTGCGCGACCTTATCAAATCAGTCCTTCTTATTTTAATATTTTAACAAAATAATCCGGTTGATATCTAGGTTGGCAATTTCTGGACAATTTTTGGACAATTTTGTGTGTGAACCAAAATTCTTGTATATTTTTTGAATTTCGGACAGTTTTGTTCGGGACATAAACATTTTGGACACAATTTTCCAGTCACGGCTAACAGGAACACACGGCCAATCGACACTCAGCTAATGCTTATCGCTACAGCCCGGGACAATTCAATCGGTAACCTTCAATTAGCAGCCACACCGCCACCGAGCGGATTTTTTAAACAAGATCTGAAACACTTTTTTTCCTACATAAGCTGATTTTTAGATCTGAAATTCGACATTTGAGATCTTTGATAAAAATTTAATAATTTGAGATCTGAAGTTTCGATCTGCGAAACCTTCTGTTAAATTTGAACATTTGCATTGAGTTTTTCTTTTTTGCTGTTTTTGCAATGCACAATTATAAATAGATTGCTTAGCGGAAAATGATTTCTAAAGAAAGGAATTAAACGTTTTTTTTTCAAACTAAAATTTGGGATCAATTGCTTTGAAAAATTTTCGAAATTGTTAGATGTCAGAAGGCGCCCCGTGGATTTTAACTGGAAGAATTGTTTTCAAATTGAACACACTTGTGAGCAAATCAGGTGGAGCCAAAAATTTTCTAATGCATAAGGATAATTATTTTTCAGCACTAAAAAAGTTCTTTGGTCACATAGTAGAAAGAATACCAAGACATGCAGAAAACCTATCTACATATATCACACATAAACTACAAGGCTCTGATGTACCATATCGAAATTGATTACAAAGCGCTTGTAATCCAAACATTGATTGAAATGGGTTTATATTCCGAGACAACAATCAAATTTACGACAACGAGTGTCGGGAAATTGAAAATGTTTTGGGTAAACACAGAATGAAATAAGCCAGAAATAGGGTTGATGGGCGTGTCGATCAATTGGGCTAATATTAATTCAAGCTCACAGAAGAAGACAGAACTCGCATTTTCAGCAAAAAAAAATTATTTCTACGACAGTAAGAAGAAAGCCCGTAAATTAGGGCGAAGAGTTGAATGTTCTGACTGAACTTTAAGGCCAATTAAAAAGCTTTCTGAAAAACAAAATGACAAAAAAATGGTTTTTTATTTTCATTTCCCCTTCTTTTTATCCCCCCACACTTATGAAAAACGTGTTTAACGTCTCGTCTTGTGTTAGGATAGACAAGCTTGCTGCTCTCAATTCAATTTGGAACGCAATAATTAGCCGCTAACACGTTTTATAAGAATGCAAAACATCGTGTGTATATTAACCCAAAACAAAACCGCTCGTATCAGGGCGAAGCCTTGAATGTTCCGACTGCCTTTTAATGTCTATCGAGCAGCAAGAATTTGAAAAAGTTAAATCTAATTAGAAAAAATAATTTAAAAAAAATGTGAGATTTGTTTTTGAAAACATCCCTCTACACACATTATTAAGTACAAAGTGATGGATTTTGCTCCTATTACCAAATCAATTAAGACATATACGCTTCCCTGAACCAATTTGGAACGATTTCTAATACAGATTAATTCTCGCTTACGCGTTATTAGCGCGAAACATATCGCGTGTTAGTTGTCCCAAATTAGCCAAAAGGGCAATCTTTAAATCCCCATAATTTTACGAAAAATAAACAGGTGAAATATCTTTTCAAATTTAAGCTCAGGACAAAAATAATTTTCGATTGATATTTTAAAAAGTTCGTCAAAAATGGCTAGTTAAATAGTTGAAAATTGCCTGAAGAAAAAAAACCCACCAGAGCACAAATATTTTCGTTACAAAAGCCGGATTAAAAACAAAACAAAAGAAAAAAAATTGTCAAACGTCCGCAATTTTGCAAAACAGCAAACCGAATTAAAACAAATTTTTGAGTTTGAGCTTAGGACAAGATCAATATTTTCAAAGTTTTTTTTTTAATATTTCGTCAAAAAGACAGAGTTAGATGGAGAAACACTTTTATTGGTAGATTCAGAATCTGAAACAAAATTGGCCGGTAGGCATTCATTGCCTATACACAAATGTACAATAAGGCACGTCATAGTCGCATGTATATTTTAATGAATAAATATGTAACTTTTATTTTGGTTTACCTTGAGTTTACTGGAAAAAAATGCAATTGTTATCTCGAATGAGCTTGAGTAGGTTAATGTTAAATTGATAGCACCTTCGGAGACGTATTTATGATCAAAAAATTGAACTACGTTAGGGTAGCAAGCAATTTTCGGACGATGAACACCACTAATCGCTTTTTCGGTTCCACCTTTAACAACGAAAAACAGAATAGCATTTGTTTTTTTTTCAGGTCTTCTAGTAGTTTTCTCGTTAGTGTCACTGGGAGCTTCAGACTGATAAGATAAATATTTGAATTTAAATATTTTTTTTTGCTTCAGAAACTTTTTTTATGATGGTCGTTCTCTTCTGAAATCAATACAGAACCGCTGTTTTTTTTTCTAAAAACAGCTGACAAAATCTAATCATGATCATGCTTTTTTCGAAAAAAAATCAAAAATAGTCGGGAACAAAATAACTATCCCGAGCCTAAATTTTTGTCGTTTTTTTGGGAACAACAAGACTGCTCGCCTTAAAAATCAATGGTTGCTACGTTAATTTAAGTAGAGAGTAAAAATGCATATAAAACAAGGCAAGATGGTCGTGCAGCCAAGAGACAAGTCTCTCACGCTGGTCAACCGGGTTCAAGTCTCTCCTTATGCAGACATTGAAACATGCAGACCTGAGGGGCTATCGCCTCATTTGACCGTTTTCTTTACTGTTTTTTGGTTCTTACTCGGTTTAGTCTTGGTTAAAGCTGACCGTCAAAAAGAGCAATTTGTCTTATGGACAATATTACCAGTTCTTGTGGCTAGCTTGAGTGATTTGTACCGTTTTTGGGCAGATTATTGGTGTCTGATGATTTTATGTTCAACAGTTATGATGATTGATGGATTTTCGGAGAGTTTATTTGCCGATTAAATGCTCTCATTAAATCAAACTTTTTCAACCTTCATATTTTCTAAATTACTGAGATTAGGCGCACATTTTGGTCTATGCAAACTTTTTCGTTTACGACTGATTTCGACTTATCATCAATTTCTTGTTTTTTTGCCAGGCAAAATTGGCGTATTTAGGCGAATGCCGTACGCCGATCATATGGCGAGTGTACTGGGTGAACTACCACATCGGAAGTGGTATCCTCCCGCCACAAAAAATGAAGCGAAACTTGATTGCGGGCGAGGAATCCTACGTGGAGAAACTTGCCCTCTATATCCGCGGAGACGGCGAATTTGTGTTGACGGAATCACAAAAGTACAAAAAAATAAATTTTGGAGCAGGTCCGGACCCACAAATAGGGACTAATTCCAGGATGTACCGTCAAATATAGAACCCCCATTTAGGACTCGGTGCACCTTACCCGGCTTGTGCGGGTTTACGACAGGATGGTGCAGAAGATACCTCTGGCGATCAGTATGCTTACCTGGAACATGCGGTTTGACAGCAACAACATATCCTTTCCTAGTACCCTCCTTAATTGTGTCTGCGTATCATTCGCGCAGTTAAGGGTTTTTACATGACTTTCACTCTAATGTTTTAAATTGGGCAAGTGAAGAGTAGTAATTTTTTGGCAGACTGACATTACTATCAACCCAAAGCATAGGCACATTGTGTCTTTCGCCATTGTGAACAATTTCAGAATGAAGGATTAATAAAGAATGTTTAACCGCGGCGAAACAGTTGTTTGGAAGCACCATAAGACTCCAACTCGTACTAGGATTTTATCTGGTCATTCAAAGCGGAACCTTCATCAACACACTTGAAGTACAAAGAATTAAAACCAAGGGATGACAGCAAAGGACCACTTGCGACCCAACCTATCGGAAGGCGCGGAACACGGTGAGTTATTGTCATCTCCCAAGATGAATTCAACCGGTCTAACGGCGTGGTAGTAGTCTTGTCCTATAAAAACTTCAACGTCCTCATACACATTTTGACTGGGCTTAATAGGTGCTACCTGTGGATATTTATTCCACAAATCTGCAATATTGATTAATTCTGAACCAACACGAATGTTGTCTTTAACATATGCACACAAGGAGAACCCGAATTCATTATTATTCGGCTTGGAGAACACAGTAACTTTGAGAACACAGTAACCCTCTGAGTCTCAACAACGGTGGTTGATTGGAAACCACTAATTGACAAATTATCAGGCTCCCCTACTAAGCTGAGACGGTTATGAGTGACGAAGACCCCCAATAGTGTATCGATGTACTATCACAAAGAACCAACGACAGGAGAGTGCTTACATCCGAGAACACACCAAGTGTTGCAATTGGCGAAAACCGTGAGTACAATTGGGACAGGTAGCGATTCAGGTTACCGGTTGGCAAAGCTATCATTGATTATGTTTGAACACATGGTCTGTGAAGGAACAGTAGACAGTGGTGGTAACACATGTGCACTAGAATTCATTTTGTTAATTGTGAATGAAACAGGTGACACAGAAGATTGCAATTGCAAAAGGCTTGCGCTACCATATTGAGGCATAACCTAAGGTTCATGACTTGAAAGTAAACTTTCCTCTATATCCTCAGTTCCGTTGCGTCTACAGTATATAATCGCACATATAATTGTCTTATACCTTAATAACAAACTGACAAGTTGCTCACTGCTCAACTTTCGGTTGTAGTTGCTGATGTGCCTACTTATTGAGTTATGAATGGCGTCTTGTCGAACTACAAGGTCGGTACGCTGAAACAAGTTGTGATGAGGGTAGTACTATAATGTTTGCTGAGAGTCCCTGGCGTTAAAGTTTAGTCTTGAACCTGGTTCCGTAAAGCAAGTTTCTTTGAAGCTCTTCTGCGACGGAGCGGAAAGTTTGCAAAGCGGGTGATCGAAGTAAATAGCTACTAGAATGAATACCATACACTTAAGGGACCTATTTTAATGTGAAGGCTACGTTACGCTTATGTACCTGAGGGGTTGGAAAAATAATTAGGTCTTTTTAACTCCACGAACACACATTGAGTAAAACTGAGGTTGAAAATATTCGACTTAACCCACTTAATATCACCGTATCTGACAACTTATCATTACTATCACGCAACAAAGTCAAAAATCGGACGGGCGAAAACGGTTTTGGTACACTTGAAGCGAACTGACTTTCAGTAATATCAAAGGTGAGTGGAGGATCAAACAAATTGTTAAAATTAAAAAAAAACACGGAGTAAACCTGAGGACGTAAAAACTCAATTTGCCGGATACTTCCTTACCAGACCACTTAACATAAAGTTGGTTTCCTCTCGCAGCACAGTTTCGCAAAACGTTTTCAGTGTTTTTAAACAATTTTTAAATTTTTTCACACTGTTTTTCGGAAAATTTAGATCAGTGGGCTCGAGTCAAAATTTGATCCAAAAAAGTAGTCCAGTACCTCTTTTCTATGTTCCAATTTCACGGAATATTATTCCGCTAACATAAAACTAAAATTTTTGGTATCGACAAAAAAAAATTCAAGCAGTTTGTCTTTGTACCGATTGTAAAAATTTTCAGTTCAACGGAACTGCGCAAAAGTTTTGTGTATTGAGAAAAAACTATCGGATGCCAGCTTGCGGGAAAATTTTTAACATAAGGACATCGTATATAACACTATACCACAATTGGAAAGTCTTAAAACTAATCAAGTTTTACAGTTTTGGAGGTTGTGTGGTCACCGTTTATTTAAAAAGGAGGTCTCTCCAACCCTTCGTCCGGTTGCGAAACGAAAATTTTCCAGATGTTTGTCTGTTTGAGGCATAAGATGTTTGCCCGGGCGACAACCTTACATCACCGATGTCTGCGTTGCGTTTTTTTGGGACCACGTCTTGTCTGGGAATTTTGGCACTACGTCTTGTCTGTGTGTAGAGCGTATTGGGATCACGTGTCGTCGCACAGCCTTCTCGACCACGCCTCGTCAGAGAATATTGAGCAATGGGACAACGTCGCGTTTCCGAGAAGCTCTCGACCAAGGAAAAAAAGCTGTCTCGACCACGCTTTGTCAGAGCAATGAGCAATGGGTTTTCCTTACACAGAACTCAACACATGTAGACCCAAGGATATATAGCGCCATTTGACCGTTTTTTTTTTTTACAGTTTTCTGGTTCTAGTTCGGTTTAGCCTTGATAAAGGCTGATCGTCAAAAGGAGCAATTCGTCTCAAGGACATTATTGCCGGTTCTTACAGATAGATTTCCCCTATTTGTTCCGCTTTCGGGCAGGTTATTGGTGTCCTATGATGCTATGTTTAACCGAAAATATTGATGAAAACATGATAACAGTTCTCATAACAAAATATTAAAAACATTAATAGCATACCTCAACTTCGTTTGGAACGAATTATAAGACAAACAAAACTGCTCGCATATCAGGGCAAAGCTCTGAATGTTCCGACTGCCCCTTAACCCATATCGAATAACTTTTAAGAACAATTTCAAAGATCAAGTACGGAAACTTGAGTCGTACGAAGTTAATGCGACCGATTAGCTAGCCTCAATTCAACTCGGAACGATTTTGTTGTGCGAGATAAATTGCCACTCATAAACAATCCGCGTTACGCTTTCAGGATAATGAATAATATCTACAGAGCGCGCATAAAATAATCCAGAGCATGTCCAAATTTCCAATTTTCAAACTCTCAAAACTTTCGAGAAAAAGATTGAAGATAAACTTTGGGGATTGAAGATAGTCTTCTGATTTTGGAGTTAATATCTTCAATGGAGCATAATAATGTTTTGTTAAAAACTATTAACTTGATCGCCGAAAATTGACTGAATAAAAACTACCACAAACATAAATATTCTGTTTTCTTGGAAAGTCAGAATAATTAAATCTCCGTATACGAGTTTAAAGCACGAAATATATTGCGCGTTAATTGTGCCATATTGGCAATCTTTAAGCACCATAAACTAGAGAAAGTCGATCACACGTAAAAAATCTAATTAAATCTGAGCTCAGAACAACAACGCCTTTCAAATGATAAAAAAAGCTTTCAAAACTGTCTAGTTCAAAAGTCAAGATTTGACTCGGAAAAAACCACGCCGTGCAAAAATTTTCGTCACTTTCTTCAAAATTTGGAGCAGCAATCGGTTTATAATAGCAGCATATCCAATTTCATTTGCAATAAATGGTTAGTTCAAACAACAACCTTGACATACGAAATTCATAATATCACAATTTTCAGCTGATGTTTAGAGAAAACTTCGAGAAGGCTAGCCAAATGACTAAACGGTACATAAAATTGAGATTTATTGCTTTTTCTCACCGTCATGTTCAAAGCGATCAAAATCGGTATTTAGAATTAAAACTTCCTAGTTCTATTAATAAACCATAGACGCTTAACGAAGCTCAAATTTGTGATCTAACTCATTTGTAAAATAAACAGTTTTTCCATTACTCCAACACTTTTTTCTCAAAAATTTAGACTTCCAATTTTTCTCGACATGGTCATTTTTTTGGAATACGAGTCCCGATTTCATTTTCGTAACGTGATCAGAACATAAATATTTCTAAAATTCAAAAAACACAATACTGACCAAGTTATAGACCATATATTTGAAGTGTCGGCAACATACACAACAGCTAGACAAATATGGTTTGCTTCGTCTGTAAATTGGCGCCAAGTTTTGTCGTTCAAGTCTTCTAGCGCCCCACCCAGGGTATTAATGAAATCTGCCAAAACAACCATCGCAATAACTTTTCTCGTCAGTGAACTCAAATCGGCTATGACAAATGGACTTATAATTAGAATTGGAGAGAAAATAATAACCGCAGCCAGGGTAATGTAGGAAATAATGGGCTCAATATCATCGAGTAAATCAAAATGCATATCAACATCAGTTGAGTTTTTGTAAAACTCATTCGGGTCACATTGACCATTAATTTCTGTTATCATGATGACTAAATGACGCTATGAACCGGCTACGAATCGATTTAAATTCACTGCCTTAATCAATTAACAACAGCTTACTTTTGAACCTTATACCGTCTAATCCCTAGCAGTCTTCTCCAGGTCACCATCAGAAAACGTATCAGAAAACTACTCGTTTTGACAGAGCGCGTTCCAAAAGTTCGCAACTTTGTTCAAAATATTTTCAAAAGCACCGCATTTCATATCGGAAAAAATTTTAGGTCTTGATAGCGTTTTAGTAAATCTCGACTTCAAATTCATCGAATAAAAAAAAACGAAATGTTTTTTTTTACAGATGCACCCTTCTACCCATGGATTAGCCCACCCACCAATCAAATTAGTCGCGCGCTCTGGTAATATTTTACCTTGAAATTTTCTAAAGGTGCATTTATATACTAATTTTGAAGGGGAGCGCGCCCTGAAAAAAAAACACAATTTTTTGGTCAATTTTTTCAAATAGTGCCTAAAAACACTTTTTTTGACCAGTTTTTTTTTGAAAAAAATTCGCTTCTGTCGCAGACATTTTAGTCAAAATGGGGTCTTTATAGTGTCCTGGAAGTGCTAAAAAATCAATTTGGTCGACCTAGAAAAAGTTCAATGTATTTTTGAACTTTTTTTGAAAATCCGTCCACCATCGAGAAAACCATAGAATATCCTAGAAAACAACTGAAAAAAAATCTCAATTTTTTTTTGGCTCTGATTACTCTGCTTAGGATTAGGTGTGTTACCGCAGCAACACGAAATTTTTGTCCTCCAAATAGTTTGCTGTTTTGGCAATTAAAAAATAAGGGGGACAATTTTTGGGATCAGATTGTATAAGCGATTGATTTCACTTTTTAAGACAGCTTAACTTTTGTAGAAATTTCGATTTACTTTGAAACCAAATAGATTTGTTTTCTGAAGATGTTTGCTCTAAATACAAAATCGGTCGACCTTTCATTCAATTATTTACATCTGATTTTCATATTGATAAATAACAGAAAACATGGTTTTCGGAAGTTTTGTATGGGTTTTTGTTGATGAAGTTCATTTCAAAATAGCATTGAACCCTGTAGTTAAAACCTGATGATTTATTAATATATCTCAAAACCATTGTTTTTAATAGTGGAGCGATCTTTTTTAAATCAAAATAACTTTATCCTAAGAAAAATGAGTTACAAATAGAAGCTCTTTATACAAATAAACCCAGCCAAAGTTATCATTGCAAAAACACAATGGGAATAATTATTTCATTGAAAAAATTGTTTCATATAGTATTTTTTCTTAAATGAATTGATGAATCCAAAGTTTGTCGTTGTTAGAGCTCATTAAAAACTGTTTAATTGTTTTATAGTGGATATCGTACATAATTAAATTGAATAATCTCCAAAGTCAGTTTACATTTCAGTCTTAACTACAAGAAAAGCAGACTAGTTTTTCTGGACCCTGAACTTTTTTTGGGAAGTTTTGTTTTTGAATTCGAATTACGACTAAAAAAAGTTGACTATGACACATCAGTTATCCCGTGCAGAGGAGGATCTAGTGCAGGGGCGGATTTTCGAAAATTTGAATTTTGGCGACCTTTTTTCCCGAGCTATTCTGAAGCATTAAAATGACGCAAATTTGGCCAAATTTTGTGCGCCGCAGGCTAATTTTTGAGAAAACAGGTAAAAACAAAGCCACTTTTGGGCACTTTTTAGAAAATTTTGACAAAAAATTGCGTTTTTTTTGGCGTCCACCAAACCCCCCCCCCCCTCAAAGTTTGTATATATTGCTGCCGAAGCCGCCTTTAACAAAATTTTAGGATCACTCGGCCAAAAATGTATTTCTTACAAATTACCAAAGGGGGACCCTTTTGGTCGGCAGGGGTTTTTGGTTGACTAAAATGTTACCTAGATAATCGATTATCGTGGCAAACTTAGCAACTGAAATGAATTTTAAATCGGCTACAATTGATTGTTAACAAAAAGAAAAACCAACTAAATATTTTGCAATCATTTATAAATCTCTTTTTTTCTGCGTACGAAATTTTTTTTTGTACAATAAATCTATAAAAATTGACTACTTTTTTGCAGATTCTTCATAACTTGAACCAGAGCCATCACGTTCTTTCACAGGCTCACTAATCCCTACCCCGTCCCCACGTCCCGACACTACACAATCACACCCCCAATCCCTCTCTCTATGCTAAGAAATCTCACGTTCCCAGTTTATCGTCCCCTCTACCGTCCCTTTTATCAACTCTTTCCATTTTTATAATAACTGAAAATAAAAAAGTAACCAAAGTTTATATTATTGTGAAAAAACAAACGTCACACTCAAAAAAATTAAAAACTTTGTTATATTTAACATAGTCAAGGAAAACAAATAGGTTTCATCCAGTGGATTTTGCGTACAAATACCTGTAACGTTAGTTTTGTGACCACAATTTTTTTCGCGGTTCCGCAACAAGCGCAAAAAACTAGTTGTACTGCAAATCTCGTAAAACTTTAATGAAACCCGCAAATTTGTGTAGAATCCGCAAAATTTGTGAGCAGAATCCGCAATTGAATATGAATTCCACAAATTACAAACCGGTTCCCTAATTTTGTTTATTAGACTGAAAAAAATCGGTTCTTGTGTATGAACAAATAAAAGCAAGAGCTGGAATTTTTCAATCAAAGTTTAACTAAAATTGTGGATAAAAAATTATAAATTTAATAGTTAAAAATTTAAAACTTAAAAACTAAAGGAAGATTTGTTTCAAATGACTAAATGAATAGCTCAAAAAAAAAAATCTCACAAAAAATTCAAAATGCGAATTCAAAAACAACACTTCCCAAAAAACGTTCAGGTTCCAGAAAAATTAGTCTACTCAGTAATTGGAAAACATATCCCAACAAGCTGTTTAGGAATCATTATTTGGGAAACAGGTCAGTTTGTCAAATAAGCAAAATCATTACGTTCTAAGGGTAGGCTGGTTTTGATTTTGACTCGGTGGTAAATGACAAAATTCCACTTTTTAACCTAACAATTCTTTTATTCTCGACAATCTGTTTGATTACGCTGAAATTTTATCATTTAAAACTATCGTTTAAAATTCTCAACGAGATTTTGTTTCATCAATTGATTTGTATTTCAGGTTAAACTTCGAAAAAAAATCAGATTTATTCAGAAATTTGATTTGAAAACTTCACGATAATGATAAAATTCAAATGAAGTTTTTGATGAATAATCCAGAAAATAGCTTATTCCAGTTGGTTTTAATTGTTCCAGCTTTTGAGATTAGAGAGGTGTTTATTTTTCTGATATTCTTATTTAAATATTTGAGATTTAGCTGCCTAACTTTAGCCTTGAACTGTTTTCAGTAATTGAGACTGAATTCCTGTCAGTGATTGAGATTGAAATAACTAGGTTTGCACTGTTTTTAATAAAAGACTCAATTATTGACAGTTTTTCAGATTAAACAGCTGGCGGTAAATGAGATTTAACAGGGAGAAAAAATTGCTGGTGAAACACAAAAAAAATACTTGTTAAATAACATTAAATTATTTTTTTTCTGTTATTGGATTCGCAAACTAAAATGCAGATTCGACTTTGAGCCATAAAATTGGCTGTTTTGAAGCAATTTTGAGCTTTTTAATGTTATTCGTTAAACTTTTTCTTGAAATCCGAAATAGCAGAGAAGAAGCAAAACCGCGAATTCCGCCACAAATTGTTGTTGGTCTGTTGCGGAATCCACTTACCATTCTTAAAACGCACAGTTTGGCTCAGTAAGGTTGAGAACAATTGAATGGATTAGATGGAATAATATCATATTTTGTTCACTCGGGGTTATATCAAATTTGATTAAAAGCTGATTTTTCACAGCTTAGTAGTAGAAGATTGAGGAGAAATCGGAGGGGGGGGGGGGGGGGTGGTGGTGTAGGGTTTGTGGCGGTCTGCCGTGTAATACGATAGGCTATAGGTTTCCCGTACCGTCAACAATGTAATCAGAAGGGTTATAGGTTTCCCGATGTTTTAAGACACCAAGTTCCAGATGGTAAGTTTCAGAAGTTATCAATTTTTGAGAAATTTTACCGGCTTCTAAAATTTCCATGTATTAAGATAGTGCATAGATTTTTCAATGCATAACTAATAGACATTCAAAGTATTAGGATAGTTGATAGGTTTTGCCATGTAATAAGATTTGAGATGCTAAGAGGTTTGAGATGCTAAGTTGGTAAGTTTCAGAAAAAAATTTGGCGCCCAAAATGTTTTGGCTCTCGAACTTGCATATGCATGCTTTTTTTTAGCTAACTCCTACGATTTGAGATATGTAAGAGCTGTATTTTCTTCGGAATAAAATGGTAAGTTTCATATGGTAAATTTCAGAAATTTTTAAAATATTCCTCGCTCTAATACTTTTTCAAACTGGTTCGAACAATCTGGGGCTAAGCAAGTTTTTTCATCAAAATTTTTCTTTGGAGAATGGATTTAGTGTCTTCTAAAATCTTTGAAAAATTATATAGTCTAGACTCAATGTGACTGCGAAATACTTGTGATGATGTAGAGGGATTGTTGTGAATCTGAAGAAATCGCAGTGAAAAGCAGATTTTTGTCTGTAGGGGTCAATTTTGTAAGTCCGATTGTCTTCGAGTGTTTCTCCTCTTTTTGCTGCCCGTGTATTATGCTCTGTGAAACTTTTTACAAATTTATCTGTAGGTTTAGTTGTTAAATTTCAGTTTTAATCATATTAGTCCTTTTCGAGGTAGCTCTTCAGTCAGTTCGGTTATTTTTAAATGGTGCTCGCCCTATATTACTCTTAGGAAAAATTGAGTGCGATGGTTCTAATCGTTATGTAGTGCGGTTTGTGAGGCCTGCCTTAGAGCATGCTCAGGGCGTCCTCTATTAGTTGGTTAGGCCATCTGGAGTATTCTTGTGAGTGTTTCTAAGGGTAGAGTGTTTTCTTGTTTCTATCCTTTCTCTTCTTTGTATCAAGTGTTTTGTGAGTTGTTTTTTTTTGGTTTTTCTTTTTTATAAAAATAGTTTGTCTTTGACTACTGCTAACTGGATTTTTTAAGGCTGTATGTAGTCTTAATAGAAAATTGATTTAATTTTCAGAAAAAAAAACCTTTTATGCAGTTTGATCTGGTTGGAGAATAGCGGAAATGTACTGTACATCTTGATAGTTCGGTAGTGTTAGTAGGCTGCTTAAAATCTTATTCCAGCCAGGTTAAACTACTTTTGAATTGTGTGAAGCTGTTTGAAGCTGTTATCAGTTAGTTTTTGAAGGTAGAATTAGAAGCTTCACCCATCTCAATTGTCATGCAAAATTATCAAGAGTTTGAAACAGTTTGTCCAAGGGGCAAGTTGAAAAAAAATTTTGTTTATAAAATTAGTAATCTTACTTCAATTTAACCCTAATTTTTAAATCTATTGACGTTTATAACAATTTTACTGCTCTGTCAAAAACATCTGTCAACATTTTAAACTTTACTCTATTCGATTACCACTTATTTGAATGATTCTTGATTCTTTTTCAATTCTGAGAAAGGCAGAGAGATCATCAAAAAAAATATGGTGAGAAAATCATATATATTAATTAAGTTTTAAATGAAAAATCCACCTTTAATTGGAGTCGGTGTTGGGGAAAACATAAGCGTTGTTGGGTGCTTGCATTGGAGGCTTAGCTTTTATGTTAAAAAAAATTCTTGTGAGTAGTAGTGGCCAAAAAATCACAAAAACCTTGATAATTTTGAGTTACTCCAGATGGACATTGAAGTCGTGGTTAGTTTTATGAATCAAGTTATAATGTTTGTGAGTGAATTCCGTGCCTTGAATGTTTTGTAAGATTGAAATTTCTGCAGGTTGGTTGTACTCGTGTCGGATGATTGTGGGGCAGGATTCTTTGTGGTTAAAGTTGTGGTGTGGAGACAGAATATGCAATTGTCGATTGCGATCATAGTTTCGATGA